AAGAATTGATTTTGAATAGTGATATGATGGGAAATGTGTGGTTGAAAAAGAAGAAAAAATTATTGATGTGATGGAAAATATTATTTTATTGAAGAATGTGTGGTTGAAAATGAGAATTGATTTACTGTAGAAAAATTTAATTCCTCCCAAACAGGGCCTAAAGGAAATGATATGGAATTATGAATTGAATTAATAAATCCAAACATATGGGATCTATATCTAATAGTTGGAAATGTTTATTTTAAAAGACACACCTCTTGAAATTTATCTTTATACATGAAGAGACGCACCTATTGAAAAATAATCACGTCAAAAGTCATGATCTTTCATATGGAAAGACACATTTTCATCCAAATATTTTCTAGAATATTTTATACTATTTTCCAATAATTTTAGTAGATTTAATAACTAAAATTTGACTTTAATTTCTCATTCATCAAATAATGAATTTCACTTAAGTGATGATTTAAAATTGGTTAAAACCAATTGTCAATATAAAATTCCAACAAACAGTTGTCATCAAGGGCAAAGTCAGTATTCGACGAGCTCCTGCGACAGCCTATGTTGGCTCCGTCGAACTTTTTTTTTTTCTCATTATATTGGGTGGCCTCTCCAGTGGCACCGTGCTCACCTAGATACGTCGATGTTCATCTTGTTTTCTGGATTCGCCATTAATCATTATCAAAGTACCAAACTTTTCATCAATTAGCAATATTTTTGGTTACAAACAAAGCTGTTTGAATAATGATATTTATAAGCGCAATTTACAAACAAGATATTATATTGGTTAGATATTGTAGTCAATGACTATCTAAAGATAAGTCACTTCTCATCCACACAACACCCTCCTCTAAGCCCTCAGCCACTTCCCAATGGCTTTCACAGGTAATCGACTCCTCTGTTACACCTCCACAAGAACACCGTACACCCAACTCCCACTGCGCCGTCCATTCCTCATACCACCATCCCCATCATCGTCTCATCAGCCAAGAACATCATCTTTCAGAGTCTCGGCGAATCCCAAAAAGCTCTCTTCATCATCAAGAACTGGAAGATTTGACAGTAAGAACAGAAGAAGCTCAGTTTCAACTAAGGAACAAGAAGAAGAAGAAGTAGTAGAAAAGCAACGGATGGATGAGATTTCAGTTGATAATAATACTGCTACTATCGGAGCCGTTGATGATGGATTTGTAATGCCGGAGCTTCCCGGAGAAAAGCCTGACTTCTGGGAAGGTCCTCAGTGGGATGTTCTTGGATTTGTTCTGCAATACCTGTGGGCTTTTGGTATCGTTTTCGCGGTAATTTATGTTTTCACTCTGAATCGCATGTTCTTTACTTGCTTTTACTTTTCTGTTACGTGTTATTATTATTCTCGATGCTATGGAAATATGTCGTTAAATCTGTTATGTAACAATATAACGTAGATAATTGAGTATGATGTGATATTAGGAACACTTCATAAAGCTCTCATATTGTATTGTTATATTCGTATGTGATGTACCACAATTTTGGCCGCCGAGGTTCCGCACCTCGGGGCAGCCTTCTCCCCATTCTTGGGCAGGTAAGTCCGAACAGCTAACATTCACGCATGTTTATAGATAGAGTACTAGACAATACCTGCATATAAGGACATCATTAGTGCACTCTTCGAATAATATAGTCCAAATGTCTAGGTATTGGCGATCTTGTCGTGCCATATGAGGAGAGGAGTACGAGCGGTGCATGACACATGGGATTGCACATTTCTAAGACATGTTTAACACTCCACCGCTGCACCACGACTGAGTCACTAGGCAATCCTCCACGATAAGTCCATAGGACTAATAAAACCGAGATGTAGAATTTGAATGTAATCTTCCACCACTCCACTGATTCCCCCTCCCTCAACCACTTCCTAGAAATGCACCAAGGTCAAGCACACATGCTCGAGACCAACTCCTAAGTTTTCGGAATCGACTGCTGGCCCTTCAAACTTCTTGTTCATTTTCCCTATCCAAATGGCATATTGATCTTGTTAGAAAGGAAGCCCTTCATATATATGCAGTTTCCTTAAGTTATCTAATTATAAGTAAATACTACTACTCTACCGGGATTTGCACCATCGTGTTCATTGCCTCTGGATTTGCCATTGACTATGGCATCTTCTTGTTTGTAGTTAATTGCTTGTGGCATTGCTGTGGCCACATATAATGAGGGAGCAACAGATTTCAAGGACACTCCAGTTTACAAGGAATCAATCCAATCTCGAGAGTTTTTAGATGAACCAGATGTTTTTGAATCCAATCCAACCGAACAGGCTCCTAGTTTGGACTAGTCTTTGGATTTACTTGCAAAATTTGGAGCAAGAAGGATTACAGCTGCAGGTCTCTAATTCCACTTGCAAGGTATTTCTCCATAGAATAAGTAATTTTTTAATTTTCGCTACATTTCAGAAATGAAATTGGACCGTGTTAGGACATGTATACGCGTGTTTAATGATTTAATCTATTGTACAAAAGGTGTCGCTAGTTGTGTAATTATTGATTAGCCAAAATTGGTTTTTTGAGGGCCGGGGTAAACGGAGTAACAAATTCAAGTTACCGTGATTTGGATGGATTCATCCGTTCTATATGAAGAACNNGATTCATCCGTTCTATATGAAGAACCTATAAATTTGAAGTGTGCATGAGATTGATTGATGCAAACGTCAGAAAAAATGAGGAGGATGAGATTTTTCATGAAGCAAACTCATCGTTTAGGTCGAAAAATCTATCAAAAATAGGAGATTGTTTGGGACACGAACCGTTAGGCTTTGAACATTGATACAAACGGTCAAAGCAACGTGGCTTGAGACATAGTCATAGTCGTAGGTTAGATTATTTTGATGGCGCCGATTAGTCGAGTTCGGCCGGCTTCACGGTTGTCATTAGTGTCCACTGGGGTTTGTCCACGCACTTGTATATATATGCATATTTCATAATGGATCTTTTTTTTTTATAATCGTGGATGTTCGGACCAACTTGCGCGCACCTCGATTAATTTCACTGGGGCGCTAAAGTTTACAGTCGGGTACTCACCTCAGTGGCCCTTAGGGGATTCGAAATGGTGATCATTGGAGAGCAAACATAAGGTCTGATCAATTGAGCAAACCATCAGGGTAATTTCATAATGGATCTTGCTACATGTTCGTGAAGATTTATATAAGAGATTAGAAAACATTTTGATCTCGGGATGGTAACGAGACAAGTTAGGGTCAAGGCGACCATCCCCTACTATTGGAGATTTTTGAGAGGCCGGATGCGGAAAAAACTTCATGACCGTCATGGTTAATTAATTATTTTTTTAAAAATTCAATTTAAACCAAAAAATAAAATAAAAAATTCGAAATGAAGATCATATTCCTCGTCCATTCATTACCGTATACAAAGTAGTTATATACATATGAAAAAAAAAAAACACACCTTGATAGCTTAAGTCTTAAGTTATGTTCATACAGGATCGGAAGCTGGAATAGTGTTTAAATCAAAACCGCTATTTTCCACTTTATTTTCACCAACCTTAACGCCGATAACTTCTTCCTCCGACGCCGTTAGTTTCTGGGCATGTCCGCCACTGTGAGATGAATTATTCTGAGCAGAAGTTTTCTCAAAGTACCTGATGGCAACTTGCATCCTCTTTAGAATGGCAAAAAACTCATCTACCTCTGCCTCCGTGGGCGGCGGATCCACCGCAGCAGCGTCTTTCTCCTCCGCCTTCTCCTTCACCCCTACTTTTTCTTTAATCTCCTTGTTCTCCACTCTCTTCCGCTTCCTCTCTCTCTCCATTTTTTCCTCTCTCTCTCTCTCAGAAAAGGAAGACACTTGTAGGATTACTTATTGCTGTCCGTCAAGTGTGTGTTCTATTATTGATTATTTATTCTTCTTTCTTTTTATCATCATTTTCAACCGTTGGATCCGATGCCAATTGATGATGTAGTAGTATGACGAGGAAAGAATGACAAACTATCCACGCGTTCATTATTACTCGCCTCCCCTAAATTTTTCTGGGAACGTTTCTTGATTTACCCCCAATTTACAGTTTTGTTTCATGTTGATCACCCACAGCAAATATGATTGTTTAATTTCTATTTTATATTTAAATTTGATTATCTACCTTATTTTTTGCATTAATTTGGCTGTTCCATAGGCAGCCATTATCAAAATTGAGGAACTTTGTTACCTGACCAATTGATTAAAATTTAACAACTTAAAGTCGAGTAAAGTTTTGCGGTGATTGCGTAAATATGATTATTCAATGGAAATACAAACGTATAAATCTTACATATCACCGTTAATCTCCATTTTGGATCAAACAACTTTGTCCTCTATGCAACGTGAGATTAAATCGCGTTCCTTTGAATCAAATCACTCTGAGATATTTACCTACACTTGACATTTGGATAATATATTATCAATCTCTCTTCTCAAGTGCGAAATCTGATTTGACATTTGGATAAAGTATGATCAATGTCTCTTCTCAAGTGCAAAATCTGATTAGCCCTTGATTAAGATCCATTTTTGGTTAAAATGTGTCTTGAATAGTAATTTTGGAGAATATGTGGTCCAAAATGAAAAAAAAAATTTTGAATTTACGTATAAAATTATTTTCTATATAAATGTATAGTTAAAAATGAATTTTTTAAAAAAATGAGTTTTTTGAAAAAATGGAACCCGAACGATGGCTAGATAAAGCTGATTTATGGTTGAAAAATAACTCTGGATTCGATTACGGTTGCAAATTAAAGATTACATTTGGGGTAAATGTTATAATATGTTATGTCGAGATAACTCAGATAACACGCATTTCTTCTAAACGATTTTTTTTAAAGGGAAAACACGATATAATCTATTGTGCTTTTTAAAATAAGATATTTAGTTTGCAATAATTGTGACACAAAGGGTTTTTACATAACTTTTAAAATCAAGTGGCCATTTATGTAACAATTACGAACTCTAGGTGGTTTCTAGTGTATAAATTAATTTAATTATCATTTTGAAATTTATTACAAACTTCAGTGTCCATTGTTTAACTCAATTAAAAGTCATTGAAAGTTAGGTGACTTTCAGTGATATTTCTGGCTGGAAGTTTAATCGCGTGGTTAGACGGTGGAAGCTGATGAAACTGTAAATTCTGTATTAGTTAGGTGAAAATGTAATAAATTTCTTGGCTGATTCTTAATTAAATGTTAAAAAAGACGACTGCTTTAAATCAATTTATTTGACCAAAAGAGACGACGTTTGGTCCCCATTATATGAAATTTTAATGGTTGAGATACTATTTTTTGAAAAATATGTGGTTAAAAAAGAAGAATTTTTTTAGGAATACCCGTAATATTATTTTAATGGAGAATGTGTGATAGATAAAAAAATAGAAAAATGAATTATAATTTCAATTGGGCCAAACATGACTAAGTCCCTGTTTGACAATCATTATTTGAGTAAAATGATGTTTTGTATAGTGATTTTTTGAGAATATATGACTGAAAAGTTGGAAAAAATTTTGAATTATGCACAGAATATTTTATTGTGTGTAATTATGATCGAAAATAAGCACGTTGAAAAACGAATTTTTAAATAATAATTTTCAAATAGGGGCTAATCAACCTCTTAGTATTATAATCCACATCAAGAAGAAAAAATCCAAAGCGTTGTCTCAAAGAAAAGTTGGTCCCACATAATTTTTGCTTTTAATTTTCTAGAGTTGAGTTGAGGAGTCTAATTTATAGGGATGTCAACGTCACGTGTAACACCACGTATACACACGGATGATATGACGTGAATCGTGATTTACTTCATACTGGTTTTTAAATTTGTTATTATCAGTCATTTGTTACTTTCAAGTTTAGATCAGCATATGATTGCAACAAATTGAAGAAAATGGACTGAAAGTAGCATGAAAATAGAAGTCGGGGTGATTTGTTTGTAACAAATTAGAGATGAGTTATCNACAAATTGATGATAATGGACTGAAATTAGCATGAAAATTGAAGTCGGGGTGATTTGTTTGTAACAAATTAGAGATGAGTTATCTAGATGTAACTCTCTTCAAAGTGAACCTCGATACACTTACAGATTATGGTTCACAGAATCCATACAGGTGGACTACTTGGCAAAATCTAGTTGGAATAAAATGAACAACGCAGGTTCTGCCATTTGTAAAAAATTTGTGAAACAAAACCTGTACACTTAGCATTTTTCCTTCGAAGTTCGATGACATTCAATGCATTTAACCAAATTTTTGGAACATGGATATTGGTGAGTACAAAGCCATTTGGGCCTGACCCAAAGAACTTGCATTGTCTTGGAAATGACAGTTTGGATTGCCTTATTGGGCCTTACTGATTTTCTCTAAACCTCGTCACTCTTCTGGATATCTTTTTTGATGGTCCATCTTCAAATATATGCGAATAAAAACGTGTAAACAAACAACTCAAATGCGATCAATTTTAAAAACTCTTTTATAAGAATATCTCTAAAAAAATCTTTAAATATAAGATCATTTCTATTTTAAATTGTAGAATGAGAATGAAAAATATAGTCGTTATTGGGCCCCACACAAGAGATAGAAATTCAATATTAATGGCTTGATGTGGTGGATAACGATCACATTTTTCATTTTTATGGATGAAAAATGAGAAACAAACGGGGGCTTAAAATTATATTACAAGACTCTTTAAATTAACATTTTAATTTAGAGTCAAACTCACTCTTTATAATTAAATGCAATTAAAGTATTTCAATTTTCAATAGAGGAAAATAATATAAGAATTTAGAGAAAAACTATTAAATAAAATATAATAAGTATTTTTTGGTAGTAGTAAAATTAAGTATTAAATATAAAGAGCATGTTTGAGAACTTAAAAGTTTTTACTATATGCGCAAAAGATAATTTTTTTCTAATATAATTTTGTTAAGTATTATCGATTTTCGTTGAAGAATTTGAAAAAGGTCCCTCAAAACTTCGTCGAACACCTCGAAGTTCATCATCAAAGAATAAGAGCTTTAAAATCAATCAAAATCAGTTTGTTGATTAGTCATTGTTCTAGCCTTATCGTATATGTTGGAAGATGTACAATTCACGAGTATTAATTCCTGATTTTGATTTTAAAGATGGGTTCCACCATTGTAATGGTAGTGGGGGAAAGGTTTCAACTCGACAATGAATTTCAATTTTTTAATGTTCATATAAACAATTATAATAAAATAAAGTCACTTGATATGAGAAGATTTAGATTTAAGAAATTACCCGACTCTTAGGTGTGTACAAAATTATTTTTCACGGAAGCATGCCAGAACACTCACATGGGGGTGGACCCCATGTGAGTAAAATATTGAAAAAAAATTTCCACCCATCCCTTGTTGTAAGTATCTGGTTTTCTTCTGTAAATCGTGCTTCTGTACGTGAAGCACGACTCTTACTCTTAGCACTTTTTCTCGTAAACGTAGGTAAACTATGTGAGTTTGGAATCCAAAAGCTCCTCAGTAGTTAATTCACCACATTCTTCTTATTATAATTAATCAATTACAAGTTTTTTTTTTCCTAGAATTGGTGGGTATGCACATGACATGCACGTTCTTCAACGACAAGTGCAAGCCACGGGCATTCAGATTTGTTAGGTCTACTTGGCTTCTGCTTTAGTATTTCATCATTCCTTATTATCCAATGTACTATAATTTATTACCATAAAATACATTATTGTCTTAATCACTAAGGAAATATTCCTAACCCTTCTATTTGTCGTGCAATAATTATTGTCTTGATCACTAAGGAAATATTCCGAACCCTTCTATTTGTCGTGCAATAGTGACAAGATTTGAAGTCCTGATTGGGTACAATTTCCTCTTAAAAACAACGTACTAATATTTTTTTATAGAAAGTATATATAAAATTATACCAACTCCTTGAGTCTCCGACTATCTGTTTGTCTCATTTTAAAATAAAATTCTTTAATTCTCGTATTCATTTTCAATCACACATTCACACGATAAAATATTTTACATGTAAACTCAAAATTTTTTCCTATTTTTTAAGGGTTAATTTCACAA